TATATATATACCTGTCTCTTATACACATCTAGATGTGTATAAGAGACAGATATATATGTATATATATAATTCATCAAAGAAATTTAAATATATATATATATGTATATGCATATATATGTATACATAATATACATATATATTATATATATGTATATATATATTATATATATATATATATATATTTGCGTCAACAAAGCTGTATTAGTCAGTAGTATAAAATATAAATGAAATAAGGTTCAAATGAAAGCTTGTGTCTCAATACATATCTGCTCATAAAGAAGGTGCTACAGTAATTATTTCATTTTTATAATCTCCAAGATAAGCCTACTTAGATTTTAGTGTCAGTTTCCTTTTACCTGGATCAAAGCTCTCTCTATGACATTCTATTTCATTCAGTATCAGTGAATGGAATTTAGCAGCATCCTTTTTGAAAATATAAAAATATGGATTTGGAACATGACGAAACCATGGGATAAAGTCGGCAGTCCATCCATTACCAAGTCCTTTGACGACTTTTCTTGAATTTTTCATAATATTGTTAAGTCTTGGATCATTCACTTCATATCTACATATGAAAATTATAAAAAAAAACAGTGAAAGCCAAACTAGTGGCGGTGCCAGGATTTCCCCCGACGGTGGGTCCAAGGTCCCCGACGGGAGGGCTGATGTCCCCGACGAGGAGAGAAAATTGGGCGTGTTTTGGCGTCGATTAAAACCTTTTGAAAGTGGTCCAGGGGACGTAGCCCCCAGAAAATACGATAATTTAGGGGTTTCAAAGGATATAATCGATTTTAGAGTCTGTTAATTCAATTCAATTAATTTTCCAATATCAATATAAACAATACAATTATCAGCAAAGGATTTTTTTCTCCCCGACGAATTGTGGTTTTTCTCCCCGACGGGGGTGCAGGCCTCCCCGACGGGCAGCTGTAGCCCAGCCTAGCCCCCCCACCCCCACTTCCGTAGCGCCGCCAGCAAACAGACGCCGTCGCCAAGCACTCATGGTGAGCGTTTATGAATTCCTCAGAACGAATTGCATGTCCAGCTTTAGGATTACATCATTTTTTTGTATAATTCACTTGCGCAATGCGAGCGTCAGACGACGCGGGGCCGTCTGCTGATTTCGGTGGCACGCAGTCTGAACGGATCATCATTAACAACGAAAGGTTGCGCGAGCGTCATGGCGTCGCATTCTCCAAAGAATCTAGTCGGTTGACGACCGTCGGCGCAGCGAGTACCCATGGCTTATAGGTTCACTTCATTTGACACGAATTATTCCATTTGACACGCATAAAGTGTGTTGGCAAATGACCAATAGCTGATAGTTCCTTGTTTAATAGTAATTTTGACATAGTTTTTGCAGTATACTCATGCCCCTATTAGGAGCCTATTTTTGACTTATGCGATAGTTTTAGTGTGCACTTGTGTCTTAAAAACAGCGAAAACGTACATTGGCAATGCAAGTGCAACAATAACTATGATACATTTGGGAATATTAAGTAGAAATTAACTTTACAAGAATAGAACTCAACCGACACATACCTGTGACCAAAGCACATGGTGGCAATTGCATTATAAACAGCAAAACCAACGACGTCGTGGGGGTCAAAGGGTCCTTTCAGCTTCTCTGTCATAATTTCTTGCAAGAGTGGTCTGATTTGTTCGGTAACGTTTTGTAAATATTCACCAGATGCGAATTTTCTTGAAAGAAATGTTACAGCAAAAAACATTAGCAAAGAGATGAAAATCTTAAATAATATAACAATTATTATAATACAAATATATATATATATATATATATATATATATATGTATATATATATATAAAAGACGCTTGTGGTAGTATATTTCTTTTAAACTTATATTATATATATACTTTTGCATGCATATATATATATATATATATATAATTATATTTTATTAATTCAAATAGTGCTCAAATTAAACAACCGTGATGTTGTTAGTCTATAAATGAGATACATACCTGGATAAAGGAAAATTATTCCTTTATCTAGACACAGAGAGACTTCATGTACATATTATGAACCCATTTATATAATGCATGTAATGTAACCTAAATATCATTCTATGTTTTTATCATCAGTTCTAATTTAGTTTACTCTAGTACTCTATTAAATGCATAAATTCTTATGTTAAACCTGATAGCGGAGTGAGCTAGCATACGATGATGCTTCCAAATTGAAGTAGGCTGGGCTGCAGTGATATCTTGTTTATCGTCTGTATACCAGTCAACTTTAGGGGAAAAAACCAATAATTAAACAACTTAATAATAATAACAACAAAAACAGCAACAACAACAACATTAAAAACAACAACATTATTATTATTATTATTATTATTATTATTATTATTATTATTATTATTAATTTTATTATTATTTAACAGTAAAACTTTATTGAATTCGAAATATCATTGAGAAGCAATAATATATTAGCCTTCATTTACAAAGAGAATTGTTATTAATTCAAATCCTTATTCTTAACATTTACAAAACTGTTATTAAGAACAATGATAAACGTGAAACTTACATAGAAATGTACGTGGACGTCCACTACAGTCATTGGGCTTTGTCAGCAACACCTCGTGTACCAACTCATAGTTGTTAACGACGACGGCCCAATATGATCCCAGTTTTATGGAAAATACATTTCCATATGTTTCTGACATTCGCTTGAAAGTCTTATAAGGTGGAACATCTCCTATAAGATCTTTATAAATAATTGAAAAAGATAAATAATTAATATAATATTGTATGCAATAATTGCGAGAGACAGTGCTCAATGCATATATTATAAATTATAATATGCAGGACATTTACATATGTTTCTGACATTCGCTTGAAAGTCTTATATGGTGGAATATCTCCTATAAGATCTTGATATATAGTTATAAAAAAGATAAATAATTATACATAATATTGTATTCAATAATTGCGAGGGACAATGCTCAATGCATATATTATAAATTATAATATGCAGGGAAAATTCTATATTCTTTATATATATATATAATAATATGTACATATATATATTATATTATTATTATATTATTTATATTTTATAATGTTTCTGACATTCGCTTGAAAGTCTTATAAGGTGGAACATCTCCTATAAGATCTTTATAAATAATTGAAAAAGATAAATAATTAATATAATATTGTATGCAATAATTGCGAGAGACAGTGCTCAATGCATATATTATAAATTATAATATGCAGGACATTTACATATGTTTCTGACATTCGCTTGAAAGTCTTATATGGTGGAATATCTCCTATAAGATCTTGATATATAGTTATAAAAAAGATAAATAATTATACATAATATTGTATTCAATAATTATAAATTATAATATGCAGGGAAAATTCTATATTCTTTATATATATATAATAATATGTACATATATATATTATATTATTATTATATTATTTATATTTTATATATATATATACATTTATATATACATATATATGTATATTTGCAGCTTGATAATTTTAATTATATATATATATTACATATATATTTAAAACTATAAAGCTGCAAATATACATATATATGTATATATTATGTATATATAGATATATATATATATATATATAATTCACTAAATGTCAGAACGTACCAAACGTGCTTCCTATGATTGGATAAGGAAATGGTCCAGGTGGCAATCCAGGTGGTCGACGCACGTTTATGTACAACCACGTGGCGACCATGATGGCGAGTAATAGAAGCCATGCGGGTGATGATGGAAAATCAAATTGAAATATCATCCTAAAAAAAATATTAAAAATTAATTAACGTAATTCTTTCTGTCTTGATGCAGCGTCCAAAAGTAAATTCACATGTAAAATGTTGACTTATTAATATGTTATGTATTTGAGGTTTTATTACCGTTACACAGTATTATATCGTATTATTATGAAGGGCTTTCCATGGTAATATTATTACAAATGGAAGGTAATATTATTAGGTGATAAGCTATTATATAAGACCTCAAGAATTTTAACCGATATTGCTTCAGTATCTGCAATTACGCATATGTCCTGTTTCTTCTATGAAGAACTAAAACTAAGTTTGATAACTGTTTTTGGTAGCTGCACTAGTATGTTGACTTTGAAATGGACTTTGAAGTTAAATTTAAACAGTGGAAACGAGGATTTTTTTAAAATAATTTTTTTTTTAGATTTTCTTTGTTTAAAATGTATGTATAAAAATACAATCTCAAAATTTGAATGCATTTTGTAGTCTTACTGATACTAGGTTAGTGAATTGTCTGAAAAAATTCGTGTTATAATTCCAAAAAGATGGAACAGGTTATCTACTGACCTAGTCATGGAATATACAAGAAACGCTATTAGCTATCAATAACATAATGACAGCGTTGACGATAAGTACAGCTGATTTCCAAAATCGTATCGCAGTATCTGAATAATTATCTTATGAAGTGAGAAGAAAAAACTGACATTGATTCAATAATTCTTATCTTCTCAATGCTTATTTATGAAAGCATAAAATAGGACATTTATAGTATATTTTTTACTTCCATAGTATTAGTATACATACCTTCGTTGCGAGCGCCACTGCTGACAAATACAGTTATGGACATTGGCTCAGCTTGATTATTGAGAAGATAAGTATTTGCGCAGCTTTGTTGTCAGGTTTTGGGTCAATTGGACATTGGGTCAGCTTGATTGTTGAGAAGATAAGTATTTGCGCAGCTTTGTTGTCAGGTTTTGGGTCAACTGGGGTTAAGATAATTGATGGCTATTAGATTGCAGGACAGACTCACGCGTCTGTAACCACCTGACGTTTTTTACCCAAACGGCGATTCGGCACAAATCATGTCCTAAATAAAGATTAAAGCTGCGTTTACACCCGATCCGAAAAGAAATGCGTAGGACGTGTTCGTGTGAACGTGCTTCCAATCTGTAGTACAGTACCGTAGGTTGCGTCATCCCAATATCTTTCTCACTGTTTGTATACCATTCAACTACGATAATAAATACGATAACAACCATTATAATGAAATTTATAAGAATAATAAATATAACTCAATATAATTCAGTAATTATAAAACAAAAGCCCGGCCAACAACAATTATAATAATCAATAAAAAATTCTTCTTTCTCCAGATAGGCCTATGAGAAAAATAAATCATTTTGAGTACACAAATAGAGAAATGTTGACCTGATAGAGGAGTGAGCTAGCATGCGACGATGCTCCCAAGCTGGGAGCATCGTACATTTAAAAAAAAAAACATATTTAAGTAATTCATTATTACAACTGCATTTTACAATTAAAAAAAAAAGGAAAAACACACATTTTAATTAACAAGATCTAATTAGCAAAAGTAATTATGTAATCATTGGTTCCTAATGGAAACCGGAAAGACGTTCACCAGGAGTAAATTCTGGAAATTTAGATACAGCAATTTCTCATTTAAAAATAAACATTTGAACTTACTTAGGAAAGGAGACGATTGAAGCAACTCAATTGAAACGTCAAGACTTTCTCAACTACAGCAGTTCTTTTCATAACTACCTACGTGGTGTACTGCAAGCTTCAACATATGTTATTACTTCGCCATGCAAACCTTCAACCAATAAATTTGTTATTCTTTTTATTTAATTTTTATAATTGTATTATCTAATCGTTTTCATATACTCATTTGAAAAAAAGACATAGGCTTACGATACTAAATGAACACAGTAACAAGGTATGCCTCACTAGAGGGGTGCACAAGTTGTCCCAAAGTACCCTGTGTCCCACTTTTGAACAAAATGTCCAGCTTTTTGGAGACCATCCATAAACACTGGTACATGAAATTTAAAGCAAAAATCAGCTTGTTTTGGAGTACTGTACTGCCCTCTTTACCTTTCTTTTCTTTCTCTCTTTTTCTCTTTTTGAGGCCAAGTTTTCCTCTGGATCTGCCCTTGTACCTGTCTCTTATACACATCTATTTTTCTTTTTGAGTTCCCATATGTATCTGGAGAGTTCGGTGCTGTGTTGGTGTTTCTTCCTCTTGAACGATTGTGTGTGGTTGTAGTATCTGGATTTGAAGGGTGGCTCTGTCAGTCTGATGTAAACTTTAGGGTCGTCTTCGTTGGTCTTTTCCACTTTTGCTTTATAGATGATGTTAGAGGCCAGGCAATTTCCTTGGAGTGGGCATTGCTCTTTTTTTCGGCAGTTGCAGGTTCTGTGGTCCAGATCGGGTTTGTTGTGGTTCGAAGCAGTTTTTGCGTTGTGAGATTTGATAACGTTGGCAAAGTTCGGCATACAGCTGTAGCTGACTTTCACCGTGTTTCTGTTAAAGATCTTGTTTAGTGGGTTCTCCTTTGGGAAGTTCTTATCTATGAGTTTAAGGAAGGATCTGCCGATGTTGGTGGAGACATTCTTGCTGTATGGTGGATTGAACCAGATGATGTTGCGTTTGCGGTTGCGTGTTCTTTTGGGCGGATATTTAACGTAGGTCACATATATATATATATATATATATATATATATTTAAATAAAACATAAATCAAGGTAGCCGTTAACACTGTTAAATCATATATAAATCATCAAAGAAAGGTAAATACAGTGTTCGAATATATATATATATATATATTTATATGTATGTATATAGGGCCTATATATTAATATCTCTCATTATCAATATCTGTAAAATATTCATATTTACATATAATAATGTTTTATTACGATAAAACTCATCACTACGTACTAAACATGTTTCCTGCGATTGGATAAGGGCATGGTCCAGGTGGCATCCCAGTAGGTCTAAGCATGTTCATGCACAGGTCCCACGTGATGACTACGATGGTGATTATTATAAGACCAGTAGACTGAATGACTGAATATCAATACTGTGTATCATTCTAAAACAACATTCTAAAACTATTACATGTGACTTAACACATCTCTTTGGTTTCTTTACAAATTTCAAATAACTTGTTTCGTATTTTTCTCTTAGATTTCATGGTTTCTAATGAAATCTAGTTTCTAAAATCCACATTGTTATAAAATTAAAAATGTAACGATGACAATACCATTAAAGGTAATATTATAACTCTATAATATCAGTTAATTTATAACGTAAGTAAATTACTTATAAGGTACATAAATGTCTACGCATGACAGTAGTTTTAACTACTGCTGATATATCATATCACAGAAATAATTTACGTTTACAAGCCAGCAAATATACAATGTGTAAAGTGACTGGAATTAGGTTTTGAATACATTTATTGATTTTATTTCGACGTCCCTATATTCTCAAAATTACATCGACGTGGCCAATGCCAATACTCAGTTCATACGCCTACGACAAGAACAAAGTACTGTAATCAGTACGTGTAGGTCTACTTCACTTAAAAAACCCATTACACAATAACAAAACCGTTACTTAAACGGTAGACTTAAAGGAAAGTGTTGTACCCTTTTGTGATATAACTTTGGTCATTATAGACGTGTCGACAGTGTATGAACAAGTCATCTTGGCCATACCTTTACTCCTCTCTGTTTTAGTATTTCTGACACTTGAATCCCGTAAAAGATAAAACGTAGTGGTTATGTCTACGCAAAATTATGCAAATCCCAACACGATGATTGGTTGACTTGCCTTTACCCTAAAACATAACTCTGCTTATCTTATTGCACTACAGAATGACGTAAGATCGGCGTAGATGCAGCCACTTTAAAGATAAAATGTCCGTGTTCAACAATTATTGCACGTTAGTAAACAAAGTGCAACCACATGTTATAATTTATGCAAATACGCCTTGCAGGCGCAGAAATTGAAACTGCACATGCTCTACTATTCGTATCGTAACAATTATAATAGGAATTATGCCGCTAATTTCTTTTTTTTTTTAATATGGCCATTTGTGTCATCATTTAAGTGGACAGTGGCTTTTCCCAGTCCAAAAGGATGCTATGGACAGGGGTAGTGGCGGATCCAGAAATTTGAAATAGAGGGGCCTAAAGAGGGACTTTTACAGAGGGAAAGTCTATACTACGTCCTCGGCCCCACATTGGTTGGGGCTGAGGCAAGCAATTTTATGAATATGGCACCCATAGACTCAAAATTTAAGTTGAATTTTCTCTTTTCTCAATTTGTTTTAAATTTTGAAAAATGTATGGGGGCTCCGGGAAGGCTGGTCCCCTATCCCCCTTGAATGCGCCTATGATGGGGGGGGGGGTCAGGTCAAGTGAGGATGACCAGTCATACACAAGCTGAACACCTGTGAAATATAGGAATAACCAGGCCTGAATGCAAATTCAACGTTTGATATTAAATGCTTAAAAGAACGATGATTGTAAATGGCAGTATTTACAAGTCTTTCTAAAATTTTGCAAATTATTGAAGTAAGTGAGATCGGGCTATAAGAACTGATGTTATTTCTATCACCCTTGCCTTTGTAGATTAGTACAAGATGGGCAAATTTCCCTACACTTGAACTTACGGTTAAAGGGATACGTTTAGGCCGAGCATTTTAAACCCCTTATCGTACCAATGTCTATGTAACTCCTTTTAAAACAGTGAAGTGTTTGATGAGCTGACAACTCTCGATGGAAGATCGTTTCTGAAGTTAATCACTCGTTGAGAAAAGAAATCAACTCGAACTCTGAGTGTTTTATTCAATTTTGGTTTGAACATTTTCCAGGGATGTCCTCTAGTTATATTTTCTTTGCGAAATTGGAAAAACTGGTCTCTGTCTATCTTGTCGAAACCTTTTATAATTTTAAAAGTTTCAATCAGGTCACCTCTCCATCGTCGTTGTTGATGGCTATACAAATGTAGTGGTACCTTTCTAGACTGCTATATAAATATACGACTATTGACCATTGACTACTGCAGAGACAGGTTGAACAATTCTGAAAGTAGGTAACATAATGACGTACATCTTTAATTGAAATAGAATTCAGGCCACAAACCTTATCCGGTTTGAGGCCAGAAATTATTTTTGCAACTTCGGAAAATCCCGATAAGATATCAATATCTTTGAATTCAAGATCACTTAGAGGAGGAATTTGAGATATTTCAGAAAAACAACTTTGGAATTGAAAAAAATTGCAATGTACCGGGCAGGTTGTCACAGATTTGGTTGTCATGAACAAATACTTAAAGCCTATACACTACTATACATCATTACAACATGGATAGGTTAAGTTTATCTCTTTATTGTAAACAGGAAAATAAACAGATAGATTAAAATAATTGTAGCACTCTGCCCTAATGCCAGGTAATTGGTAGTAGTCGTGTTAGTCGTAAAATATTAACATGGAAATAAGAAAAATGTAACATTCAGGTAAGAAAGTTTAATACATGCTCCAAATATTGAAATGCACGCCATCGTGTTGGGGTTCAATATATCGACATTAAGTATACATCATCAGGATTAACTTACATAAATAATATTTCACTAGTCAGCAGTGGATGCTGGATTCATCCCATATTATAATACAAAACTGTGAAAATTCTGAAATACTAAATACAATTTAATCAACAACTAATATTGTAACAATATTTTGTATATTTAATTAGTTTAGAGGTCATTGCTTGTATCTTAAGATAATTTAGTTGATATCATTTCGGAGAGTAGCAACAACTTGGAAAGGCTTTGTAAAATTTAGAGCCTGTGGGATACCACTGACAGCTGCTGGGCCTTCCTCACCCGGTGGCTTGGAGAACTTGTAATTCTGAATTAACCACGTAAAAATAAGAAAAATTTCGGCTTTCGCCAAAGATTCGCCGACACACACTCTACGACCAGTGGAGAACGGCAAGAAGCTTGGTAGACGTTGCTTAACAGAGTTTGATGAATCCAAAAATCGTTCTAAAAATGAAAAAGAATTTAAAATAATATTGAATGAAAAACATGTAATATTTTAATAATCTGTTATTTATGTTAAAATAGGCCACATAAAATGATTTTTGTTTCGAAATTTGAAGAAAGTTTAATCTTAAAATATCGTGCCACAAAACAAATTCAACCGTAGCTTGGTGCTTAATTTTTTTTATCTGGTAGGTAATCCTATTTTACTTTAAATCATTTATATGACATTGTATTTTTTGTAAAGTAATCCCACTCTTCAATTCTCATATATAACATATCCTGTAAGTTGCGATTTACTCACTGTTGATTAGAAAATGTTTTAAAATTTAAAAGTTGCCCAAATTTTCTATAAAAATAAGTTACTAGATTTACTAACCTGGCAGAAAAACCTCTGGCGCATCCCAATATTCTGGATCCATGTGAAGAGCCCACTGGTTTATTAACACCCATGTATTTTCAGGTATCTTGTATGAGCCTAAAACATCGTATTATTATTAAACAGTATTAATAACTATTGTGACTAGTAGAACATCTTCACTTCAGAACAAGCTTTCGCGTAAAGGGCCATCTAGGCCCCTGGACAAGGTCTAGAAACATTTACCGCAGAGAGATTGCATGCCTGATGAAGGTAAAACAAATACATATGGATACGATGGAATATACAATGTTAACTACTGCTTAAAATTTCAAACAAAATTTGACAATATTTTAAAGTTCAAAGAATAATTGCCTTACCAATAGAAGAGTCTTTAAGAGCTCGATGTGTAACACCAAGCGGTACGACTGTCCCAAATCTCATTACCTCCATGATGGCAGCCTCCGTGTACGGCAACTTTCCACGGTCACTTAATCTCAGTGGTCTGTGTCCAATGACTTCGTCCAGTTCTGTTTTGATGTTTTCCTGTACAGTCGGGTTGTCGACAATACAGGCGATAGCCCACAGTAATGTAGTTGATGATGTGTCTGTACCAGCTGAAAGAGGATATAATCATCAAACACGATCAAGTTAAACCGGTAAAAGTTTCTATATTATTGAAACAACAAATTAGTTTGGTTAAGAAAATCCCGACAGAGAGAATTCGCTTACCAAAGAAAAGATCTGCCACAATTTGTTTGATGTGTACGTCTGTTAATTTACAGGCGTGGTCTTCACTCCCTTCTGATTCTTCTCCCTGCGCTTGTAACAACAGCTCTATTAGATCATTAGCGGGTTCATCTGAATAACATAATAACTTCGATAAAATACCTTCAGCGGAAATTATCCAGTCTAAATAGTATAGCAACTACAAAATGGAGTCGTTGTTTTTTAAAGCTTCTATCAAATCGTCCAGTAATGTACTATACGTAAACTCAAGTATATTAGTATCTTGGCTGTTCACTTTCCATAAGATAGGCCTACAAATCTGTTTACCTGGACTGTATCTTTCCAAATGTTGACTAACTTCTTTTTTTATCAAATCGAAGAATTCTATACTCGTCTTCTTAAATCTATTGACTTGCGGACTTGGTAAGAATCGAGCCAAGGGAATGAAGTCAGCAAGTGTACCGTTTCCAAATGCTTCATTAATTTCTTTTTGTAACTCGATGAATCTAATTAATTCAGTGTCGTTGAATTCATACCTATACCAAAGGTAGGATATATTAGAGATCGAAGTTTCATAGAACATTACATAAACGTTACACATCATAAATTAACAACTTCACTCTATTCGCTCACTAAGAAGTGCAAATGTGTATTCGAGACGTACAAATCCCGAATTTGTGTGCTCGTAGAAGGTTAACTTTCTTACATACGGTCGTAGTTGCAACTTCATAAACTACGTATACGTAGTTTAATAACATATTTAGTTAATAATGCGGGTCAGTGAAGATAATAATATTGTACACTTGCAATAAACAGTAGCCAAATAGGTTAGGTTAGCGTATGTCACATTTGGCCAGAGATATAGTAATGAGCAAACGTTTTGTCTGACCAAGACCATGTTTTCTGGATTATGATAAAACATTTAACATAATTAACATTTACGGAAAATTATTGTCTGTCCTACTATTGTAATTTGTTAGGCTGAGGATAGAGTTCACTGATCTATTGCTTAAAAATGCACCCTATGTTTTACAGCCTGTATCCTCTTGTATCTACTAAAATGTATTTCTACGATAGGCCTACTTACTTATGCCCAAAGCACATTGAAGCGATTGCATTATAGACTGCGAGTGTGACGACTTCGCGCGGATCAAAAGGTGTACCAGCCTTCTGCGTCATTACGGCTTGTAAACGGGGGGTAATTTCGTCTATGAGATTCTCCAAGTATTGGCCAGTTGCGTATTTTCTAAAAAAATATTCATCATAATGTATAATATATTACTACTCTATAACTAATATTTACTTAGGAAAGGAAATAGGTATCTAGTTAGGTGATTGCCTTTTTTTACTTTTTATGACATATTACTGCCTAACTAAATTCAATTATAATTTATTATGTTAATTATGGTAGATATTAAATCTCCCAAACCTTTCTAAAACAATCATCACACGAGTTCATGATTTTAATAAAAACAACCATTACCTCCCATGAAACATCATTCTTCCTGGTATCAGTGGCGAAACCAAGAATTCGATATAGAGGAGGGCCCAGGGATGCACTTTTACAGATGGGGTATACCAAAAAAAAAAATGATTATGGCCTCCCTAAATAGCCGGAAATGCACTCTTAAACTTAAATTTGAATATACTGTAATTTATTTTTTCTCCATTTTCAATTATAACCTTTTATTTTTTGTGTGCAGTTAATTATAAAATTAAAATTTCGAAACTCATAAATTATGAATTAAACTACAAACGGAAGAAAAGAAAAATAGGTAATTCATTCAGCAGGCTGATAGCGGCAGGAAAAAAAGTTTTTTTTTTAAATAAAAATCTAGTCTTCCTAGCATTGAGAGGGTGGCATCACTTACCACTGGGAAATAACTCACTGTTCATCAAAACATGATGGAATTCATCTTTCATGATCTCAATCGCTCTTTTGACGATTAGATCTCTGTAGATATTACTTAGATCAATTTGGTTTCAAAGTTTTTGCTTTTTGTGTATTGCTTATGCTCAGTTTTAATATTGATTTTTGATAGATGTTTAAGGCCCGACGTACGGTAGGATTTTTAATATATTTTCGCGGGTTGTAACAAAAATGCTTTTCTGCGCATGTGGCCTTCGAGAATCCAATGTGCCTGAATCGTGCACATCGACGATCGAAAGTGGTTGGATACTAACCTGATAGCCGTGTGAGCTAGTTTTCTGTGGAACTTCCAAGTTGGAGTGGGTTGAGCAAATACAATATTCTTTTGATTGTCACTAAACCAATCCACTAAAAACAAAATGACAATAATAAAAATAATAATTTTTTGTAAATTTTACGTACATTTAATGTTAAATTTCTATTGAAAACATACATACATTTACAAGACACACTTAATTATATTTCTTCATTTTATTTGACTTTGTAATTTTGTCTACAATTGTTTGATACATTACACAAATTGGTAAAAGTCTGCATTAAACATGATACCGATGAGGCAAAGTATTTGACAATGTATTTTGGAGACATGGGTGCCCTCAATTGCAAGATAAATAACTTATAATATGACCATCATTATTAAAATTTATTATTATTTATTTGGGCTGGGATTTGGTTAGAATTCATCCTCCGGTGCTTAAGCAACAATCAACGTCGCTCTAATACCCCTTTTCTTTATTGTCTTAGAAGCCCCATTCTAGACGGAAGTCAAGACACGATTATTTATGTCCCTGCAAATGTGGAGATGTGCAGGATTGATTTTGGTTTAATAGAAGTTCTAAAATAATTACACTTAACGGGACTTACCCATATAGAGATTAGGGCGCCCACTAAAATCATTTGGTTTCGTCAACAAGGCTTCTTGTGTCAACTCGTAATTGTTTATCACCACAGCCCAAGAAGGACCAACTTTGAAAGAAATTATAGGTCCGTACTTCTTAGTCATACCTCTGAATATTTTCTGCGGTGGTGTCTTCCCCAAGAATACTTTAGTTTGAGAAAAAAAAAAAAAAAAAAAAAAAAAAAAAAAAAAAAAAAAAAAAAAAAAACCTAATAAAACAGATAAAATGCCAAGAAGTGTAGAATTAGCAATTCATATTTGTTTTTATTTTATAATCAGAAATTATAGATGCAAAGTTTAGAATATGATATTTCCATAGCACAGACTATAAAACGGAGTCTACAGATAAAACAGTATTATTTATTTCCTCTGCCAAGAAAAGTACACTATTCACATTATTTAACAAAATATGTGTGAAGTTGTAGAATATCATTATAAAATATTACTTGACACATTTCCAATGATCGGGTAGGTTGTTGGACCCGGTGGCATTCCAGTTGGCCGCCGTATGTTCATGTATATCCATGTTATTAAGAATAATACTACTGCTAATAGTAAAGACACGTCGGTCGTTATATCCTCAAACATCCTAAAAACAAATGGAACAGATCATCTATGACGTAGAGTGCTCGATATCTCAGATCATGGAGGTATACAAATAGTTTTAAAAATATTTTTATACCTCCATGCTCAGATAGAGCTTAGAAATAAAACAATAGCAGATGAACATAGTAATTTAGTTCGACTTCCTGATTAGCCATTTAAGTTATAAACCCTGGAATATTGTGTCATTCATGTTTTACAATTCGCCTGATGAGTGTGGACCTGTGTGGTCATATGAAACAAATTTGTAGCGATTAAAGATATGAAGTAACCAAGTCCATCTGCTATTGTTTTATTTCTATATATATAATATACGGTATATATATTATATTTATATATATATTTATATTTATATATATAAAAAACCTTAACACACTTTATTATTTATTACGTGCAACGTGATATATATATATATGTATGTATATATAGGCCTATATATACACATAATATGCTATGTATGCATATATATCATATATATATATATATAATATATATATATATATAACCTCAACACGGTTTATTATTTATTACGTGTAACGTGATATTTATATGTATATATAGGCCTATATATATATATATATATATATATAATATAATATAATATACTGTGCTATATAGAAGGAACAGCGCCATCCTAAAGCTTTGTTTCTGATCGTTATGTTTACATTTTAGCTGCTGCATATCAATTCCTATCTGTAACGAGCCAGCTAATTTCGCACAGCCTTGTTGTTTTGAAGTATTTTGCCTTTTAATATTTATACACAGTATGTATATAGTATGTATGGGTATATAATACGTATGTATGTGTGCATGTGGGTGTGTCCACGGGTGTGTTAATACGATATCAGCTGAATATTGACAATACGGCGGGGATGTCAACTCTGTCGATGTTTTAACGGAAACCTGAATAGAATGAAGTGTACAGACCTCTAAATGAGGTCAAAGTCAAATGGGCTTGTATAAAGAGCCTCAGGTCATTGTACCAACAGTAATTGTATTGTTACATGATAGAATCATTATACAATTAGACGTACAGGAGTTTTCGCTATATACAACTCTGTGTGTATACTGTTATCATTTGACTAAAACAAAAAACAAAGTCTTTATTTGTTATTGTTACTTATTGATGCATTTTCACCCATACTTAATTTCCCCTAGTCTATAGGCTTACCCTACATAGGACCCTGTAACATAGGCTTATTACTGTTTTGTTTGCAAGCAAAGTATTTGCCAATGAACTGTTACACTATTTGAAAGAAACAAAACAATTTCAACAGGCTAAATACGTACTGTAAAAAACACGGGTCAGCTTACTTCACTGCTATGCATACAACTCTGTTGTAAACACTTTATGACGGCTTCTTTGCAGAGAACAGTGTCTAGGACCTTGTGATCTTGGTAATAATTATTTGAAACGGTTGTCACGACCGGATGCACAGTAAATACACGTAAGAACATAAATCTAATAGGATATTTGGTCGTATTCGACTGGTCTGGTTAAACCACGCCCACCTGCGCAGTGGTAAAATTCTATTTTAAACGAAGACGATCAGTCGAATAGAAAACTGGTAAATAATCAACAAAACAAAAATGGCTGCATAATGGCTGCGTAATTAAACCTGCTCCGGATTGTGGCAGAATGGGTTTTTCGTAAAAAATGTTTTCATCCAGTTTTTGAATTCTGTTAGCCTACAATTTCTTTTGACTTCAATGTGCTTTAAATTTTGTAATTTTTATTAAATATTGTTGCTAAACTGACCAATCGGCCACATTTTTGGTCACGTGTATAACTTAACGCTGATTAACGCACTCTGGTTTACGTTAATTTTCGTTGTCAATGAAGTATATTTTACGAACCAGTCTAATGAAAATAATACTCAACGAAAATTAGTACTCAACGAAATGAACCAGTCGAATAAGCCCATTGTTAACTTATGGATCCGCAAGTGATCACGCGACTAGCCTCTTTACAGTAATTAGGCCTACATAAAAGAATCAAAGTACGTGTAATCAATTTTTTTAATTCAATGCAGCGTATTTTTCTCACGGTACAGGTTAAAGTACCATATTGGGCGTTTACAACGAGGTTATAACTATGGTTACACATGTAAACAGTAAAGTTTAATGTACAGTATAATCTAGCGGTTTGCGAACGAAAATATTAATATTAGGTTTACCTGGGAACAGTGAAATTATCCCTGGGTCTACTATATGGATGCTGTGCAAAAGAAGCCTGCGATCAATTTAGAAATTCCAAGACTTAAATCAGAAGTTCCATCTGATATGCTTATCTTGGTCGTCAAGACTACGTGTTTGGCCAGATGCCTACCTGGAACCATGGATATTCCTCCATGCTGGAACCTAGCACTCCCATTATAATAGAGTATTGTAATCATTTTAGCTCGGTACTCCTGAATAAGTGAATTCCCTAAGATTGCCCTTGTGTAGTGTGTGACATGAACTCAATCTTATTTCCCATCTTTTTTTATATTGTCCATTATAAGACATTTGTGAAAGCTCATTGTTGTTTACATTGTTTATAACTTTGTCAAAAAAAGAAAAAGAAAAAAAAAATATATATATATATATATATATATATATATATATAGAATAGAGATCAAGTGTCTTAAACTGTTTTAAATACACGTACATTTAAAGTACAAACGATTTAATTTGGAGATAGGTACGGTAGTTAGTTATGGTTTGTTCATTGCACTTTTAAATAAGCTGTGTTTATCTAGGTCTTTAATCAAAAACTCATTGACATTGCTATTTTTAATATCATCAATATCTAAGTTTTCAATATCATAATTACCGTTTGAAAAAAAGGTTTTAATTTGTTTTAACCAACTCCATTTAATATTTTTAACCCAGCATTTAACATTGCTTCTAGTGCTTTAAGTGACCGCTGATCGGTTTCAACGTTTACAGGTCTTTTTACAAACGTTATACGCTTGCATTGTCACAAGAATTTGCTATCGTAATTCCACCCCTTTTGCTTGTGTATCTTGTCGCTTTAAGTGTAAATCTGGCCATATTTAGTTGTAAATGTTCTAAAAGTTCAATATCATTTTTACCTCCAGACCACGTTCAACAAGCATAATTAACTGTGAAAATACCAATAGCCTTCCATAGAATGTCCCCGTAGTAAACGCGGTTAAAATCATCTTGATCGTTTAGGATAAATTAAATATACCCTGTTATTTAATTACCTCGATTCATTACTTCATTTATGTGCTTGTGATCTGACAAATTTTTTGATATTGTGCAGCCTAAACATTTGTATGTATCAACTTCAATAATATACTCTTCACCCAATTGAGTTATTTTTTATCATTCACCCTCTTCACCACAATTAATACATGTGATTTTTATGATTAAACCTTAATCTATATTTATTATTAAAATCATTTGCAATGACTAACATGCTCTGCAACTCCTTGGCATTGTTTGCTAATTGTACAACATCATCAGCTAAAAATAAAGAGCCCATTTGCGCTTCATTAATGCAGACTCCACATTTGGAAGACCGAAGTCATTTTGCTAACTCATTAATGTATATTAAAAATAGTATTGTTGACAAAACACATCCTTACCTTCTGTAACTTCGAAATAGTCAGTTTCAATTGACCCAAATTTAAATTTACTTTTAATCTTTTCGTATAAATTATTTAACATTGACCATACCTTTCCTCTTATGCCAACATTCCATGCTATGATTAAAAACTTATCACGCCACACGGTATCAACATTTTTCGAAAATCTAAAAATGCCATATAAGTATCTTTACCTTCACCTTGTCTAATAGATGCAATGCTTTTTAAAGTAAACGCATGATTTTCACAACGCCTCGTTTTTCGAAAACCTCCCAGGACTTCCGTAAGCAAATCACTTTCTTCAATATACTCAAAAATACAATTTGAAAGCAACTTATTAAAAACTTTACCAACACATGAGCTTAACATTATTGCCCTATAGTTATTTAGATCTGATTTGCTACCCTTCTTAAATATAGAACCACTATACCTTTATTTCATTCATCAGGAATAAGCTCCAAAGATGTTAAACGATTTAGTAGCAGATATAACGCATAATGCATACAATTACCTCTATTTTCTCTATGGTGTTGTTCCTTCTTGCAAACAGCCTAAGCATTAGGTTTAAGCTTGCTTAGTGTCCGCAAGTAAAACAATACCCACGATCAGAACAGCGAATGGTAGGCCTAGACAATGACGTACTAGTATTGAAATGTTCACTGATGCTATACATGTTATCGCTGAGGAAGAGCACAGGCTTGCTCGAAATATTAGAAATAAGATATTGCCTTGTGTCTATTATGTCAACGTATACGACTCTACTTTTTACATTCGTACTCATTTTATACTATTATGACATACGTGGAACCTGTCTCTTAATATATATCAATATCATCGTTATAATTTATTATTATTTGATATCATTCCGGGGAGTAGCAATAACTTTGTAAGGCTTTGGAAGATTTATCCCTTGTGGGAAACCACCGACCGCTGCTGGACCTTCCACGCCTGGTGGCTTAGAGAATTTGTAATTCTGAATTAACCAAGTAAAAAGAAGAAATATTTCAGCTTTAGCTAACGATTCTCCAACACACACTCGACGACCAGTGGAAAACGGCAAGAAGCTCGGTAAACGTTGCTTAACAGAGTTGGAAGCATCCAAAAATCGCTCTGAAGACAAAAAAAAAATAATTTAATTAAATTAAAAATGATAATACTCAATTGAACAGCTAGACTGAAGAAAGTGATATTTAAAGACTTTCCACATTCAAATGGTAGATATAATAACAAACTAACTTAGAATATCATGTAACTAAAGAGAGTTATATTTCTTTTTATAATATTGCTGTAGTTTGTTGTTTATTTTTATTTGACATTAAAGTGGAATTGATTATTAACAGTATTTTTTTATCTCGAATGAAAGCAAAAATGATCAGTCATCAAGCCTTATACCATTTTAAGCAACATCCAGTAAGAAGCGAGTCTCTCAATATTGAAGAAATATGATATATTATAACAAAATATCTAAATTACTAATTTTTCAATGTAATCGAATTTTCTGTACTGGCTTCACTAACCTGGCTGAAAAAGCTCTGGTGCATCCCAATATTTCGGGTCCACGTGAAGAGCCCACTGGTTTATGAGCACCCATGTGTTTTCAGGTATCATGTATGAGCCTAAAACGTAATATACAATCATAATTAAGCTCATTTGTTTTTTCTAACAGGCCATCTTGGGTCAGAGACTGATTAAGAGGCAATTATCGTAGAGAGATGTATTGTGGTTTAAAAAATGTTCTTTTGATCACACTAATAATTCAAGACTCTAAAAATAATTGCAATGGTTAGGTCAGGAAAAGGCATTTTTAATCCAACAAATTAAGTGGTGTTGGACAACTGGATCAACGCTTGTCGAACCGGCACTCTCCTGAACATCGCTGATCCACTTACACCTACCACTTAGAAAATGATGCTAGTAGTATTATGTTCGTTAATTAATGTTTTTAACTTGTTTGAAGATATTGTGTATAAAAAACGTAGATTCTATGAACTTATCCTCTTACCAATAGAAGAGTCTTTTAGTGCTCGATGAGTCACACCAAGCGGTGCCACTGTCCCAAATCTCATTATTTCCATGATAGCAGCCTCTGTGTACGGTAACTTTCCACGGTCACTCAATCTCGGAGGTCTGTCGAGTCCTATGATGTTCTCAATTTCCTTCTTAATTTTTTCTTGCGCAATCGGGTTGTCGACCATACAACCGATAGCCCACAGTAAGGTAGTTGATGATGTGTCTGTACCAGCTGTAAGAAAATTTACATTTTCATCAAACACGACATCCCGTAAAATCTATATTATTGAAATAAATAAATTAACATGTCAATCCTCACTTACCACTGAAAAGATCAGACACAATTTGTTTGATGTGTACGTCTGTTAATTTACTTGCGTTGTCTTCACTTTCTTCTGATTCTTCTCTTTGCGCCTGTAACAACAGCTCTATTAGATCATTAGCGGGTTCATCTGAAAAACACAATACGGTAATTATAGCAGAAATTGTTCCAAATTTAATTCTTTATAGTGATTAAGACGTTTTTCTTCTGTCAAACGTTATAATTTGTACTGTAATTGTTTGTAAATAATTGTATTTACCTGGACTATATCTCCTTAAATGTTGACTAACTTCTTTCATAATCAGCGCAAAAAATTCTGTAGCCCTTTTCTTAATTGTATTGACTTGCGGACTTGGTAAGAACCGAGCCATGGGAATGAAATCTTCAAGGGTACCATTTCCAAATGCTTCATTAATTTCTTTTTGTAACTCGATAAATCTAAGTAAGTCAGTGTCGTTGAATTCATATCTGTAGAATAAGGTAAACATTAGCCTACACACCATACTTTAACGACTTATTTCTCATACATTATAGGACGTATTAGGCTTAATAGAGTACTACAGTGTTACGTCACGATACCACGTGATACTACTCCGTTGCTATGGGCACAAAATGCGTTCAACCGGACGCCATTTTTCCACTGACAAACCATTGATCCCAATATCTAACGTAATTATTAAGATGTTGTATCTTAATTTTTCTTTGTAAATGTTATTTAAATTGATTAAATGTGTGTTCAAATGCTAATATAATATGTGAGCTTTTGTGTTTTTACTACATTTTCATGGTAAGGTTTTAAAATGACTACTCCAGAAAGCCTATTCTAACAATTAGGATTATGTAGTCATTCCTACCCTCAAGAAATTTATAGAATCGCCCACGTATTGAGAACTGTTTTCTTAAGAGCTCTTTGGATTGTGGTGCGATTTCATCATTTTATATATGCTCAAGGGTAAAAAATCGAATTTCCGTCATCTTGAACTTGTCCTTGGACCTTTTCCTATGAAAATTTAAAGGTGCCTTTCTTTGATTATTATGTTCTATTCCAATAGATTTTATGATTACTGTACATCCATTAATTAGTTTTTGTGTAATATTGTTAACAGATAGACAGTCAGCAGTGAGTACAAAACTTCCTTTGCAATTAACCTATCGTTTTGTTCTTTGACAAGACACATGTTTTCTAAATTAGACATATGTGTCTGTTCCACTGTTGTAATTTTGGTCTTATGACATCGATGATGGTCAGCATGGGACTCGAACACTCAGCCACGAGGATGCGAACCTGAATGGCAAAATCTGCCCCAAGCCGCCTTCACTGTGTTTTGCTCGAATGATCCTGAATCCACTATTTACAATAGGACTACTTACTTATGACCAAAGCACATTGAAGCAATTACATTATAGACAGCAAGTGTGATGACTTCATGAGGATTAAATGGACTACCGGCCTTCTGCGTTATGATTGCTTGTAAACGCGGTATAACATCCTCTATGAGATTCTCCAAATATTTGCCAGTTGCGTATTTTCTAAAAGAAAAGAACTTCGTTGTTATATATGAACACAACGATAGGATATATAGAATCTGTCTCTTATACACTATATATATATTGAAGAGTGGGATTGCATATATGCTCCAAGTGAAATAAAATGCAATGCAATGAAAAAACGGTGTACAATCATTGAAAGTTGACTTGCGGAACACAAATTTATTAAGCTTTAACAAAATCAAACGGATATTTCGATGGCTCCTGCTATCTTCATCAACGTTAAAGTGAGAAAACCTTGGAGATCTTAAATATACATAAAGAATAATAAACCAATCAGAATCAAGTTATCAATACAATTAGTTGATTGGACCACAAAATATAAGTTCAGTGACAAGTTAATGGGCGAATTAATTACAATTAAACCATTATAAGATGTCGGCAAAATGATTATGTAAGCGATAGTTTATTGGCGGTGCCATTGAACCAGCTTAATGCTAAGACTTATTTAACTACAGTAAACAATGACAGGAAATATTGATACGCTACAGCCTATGATTGCATCGGTAATACCAAAGTACACCAATGATCGAAAGTGGTTGGATACTAACCTGATAGCTGAGTGAGCTAGTTTTCTGTGGAACTTCCATATCGGAGTAGGTTGAGCAAAAATAATATCCTGTTGATTGTCACTAAACCAATTCACTGAAAATAGAAGTAGAAGTAATAGTAGTAGTAGTAGTAGTAGTAGTAGTAGTAGTAGTAGTAGTAGTAGTAGCAGTAGTAGTAGTAGTAGTAGTAGTAGTGGCAGCAGCAGCAGCATTAGTAGTGCTAATGATAATGATAATAGTGGTGGGGTGGTGGTTGTGGTGGTGGTATGGCTGTGAACCTTCGAAAAATGACTTTTTTTAGAGTTTAGTATTGAGGCAGCAATTGCGAGAGACGAGAGATCTGGTACGCAATGACTTCACGAGCATGCATTACAACGTTGTGTTTTCACTTTCGTTTGGCTCTACGTTGTGCAGATTACGTAAAGGATGGTCACGCATTTAGTGAATCCACTCTAGGGTCACGTCGTCGCGCATGTCAAACACTTCCTAATAATTACAACCCGTTAATGGACTTACCAAGATGAAGACTAGGGCGTCCACTGAAATCATTTGGTTTCATCAACAAGGCTTCTTGTGTTAACTCGTAATTATTGATTATCACAGCCCAGGAAGGACCAACTTTGAAAGAAATTATAGGTCCGTACTTTTTCGTCATATCTCTGAATATCTCTTGTGGTGGTGTATTCCCCATAAATACTTTGGTTTAAAAATAGAAGCATAAAAACAGATAATTGAAAAAAAGAACATGATGTAAAGTACAATTTCGATTTTTTTTAATTATAAATAATTAAAATTAATGTCAATCAAATCAATACTAGAAGCGGCGTTGAAGCCTAAGTATTCCTATGGTACAAGAATATAAAATGGAATTTATAGATAAGCCAGTAGGCCTATTCCCTTTTCGTTAAAAAGTTTTAGATAAATGTTATAAAATATTACTTGACACATTTCCAATGATCGGGTATGGTGTTGGACCAGGTGGCATTCCGGGGGGCCGCCGTATGTTCCTGTACATCCATGTTATTAACAAGACGACTGCTACTAATAGTAAAGATACACCGGTCGTTATATCTTCCAACATCCCAAGGATATTAAAAATAGGATATACAGGTACTGAAATAAACACAACGATAGGATATATAGAATAGGCATATACACATCTAGATGTGTATAAGAGACAGCCTGATAGCTGAGTGAGCTAGTTTTCT